GAGCCAGTAAAATAATATTTTATAAAAATAGTATTCCTGCATAAGGCTGACATTGTAGGGAGACTCTATCACCTTTTTCTTTCTTTCCTGGACTCTTAGCCTGCCCTTCTCTATAAATCTTGCCTCCCACCCCATCTCCCACTCCTCTGAGGAATAGGTCAGGATCACAGGTGGTCACTGTCACAAGCAGGGAATCACATTTATAGCCTGACAAACTCTGTAGCCTGAACTTTCTTCAAGTGAGTGACAGGAGTGTTAGCAGAAATGCCAGCTTTTAGTATGGACAAGCTTGACACAAGAAGGTACACTTCTGAGTTTTGTTTTTTTGTTTGTTTTGCAGTTTTTGGCCGGGGCTGGGTTTGAACCCACCACCTCTGGTATATGGGGCCGGAGCCCTACTCCTTTGAGCCACAGGCGCCACCCCAAGTGGGATTTTTATGAGGCCTAGCCAGCTAGTTAGCATCAACAAGAAGAAAATATTCTTTTACAAAATTGCCCACCCCCAGACTTACCAGAACTGAGCCAGACTATTAAAAAATGCACTGTAAGTCATGGGAAGAACAAAGTCAGTGAATAGGCAATCTTATTCTCACCCCTGGGAAAGAGCTCAAAGCACAAATTCGTCTGACAAAGGGTCAGCGGGATCATTTTAAAGCACTGTATATTCATAGAGCTACTGATGGTAAGACAGAGATGTGGAAGAAAGCTTGTGTAAGGCTCCAAGCGACGGCCCGTGAACATAGCTTTTAGTTTTTATTTTCAGGCTATTACAAAGATCTTTGCTTTCTAAATGCTAAGACTTTCATCTGAGAGTAAAAATTCTTAGTGGACTTTCTGCTTACTTTATATAACCTGAAAATGTGAACAGGAAAAAAAAGGAATAAATAATTAGAGTATAGTACAAAAGTGGGTTTTCTCCAAAAGCCACTGGAAAGAATGATAAAGTGTATTAAACCCTTTGAAAGGGGATCACAGGAAAGCAACGTGGCTTTGGTACAGGCTTAATGAAGGTGGAGACTGTAATCCTGAGTCTGTACTCACCAGCTGTGTGCCCTTGAGTACACCCCCTGAACGAAACACACCAGCACTGGGTTTCTTCTAGTACACAGAAAGGGATTTCTAGATGAGAGGTTTCCAAACTACTCCTCTGAGTTCAGGGGACCTGGGGTATGTGCACAGCAGGAGAAAGCAAGGAGTGGCCTGGGCCCTGCCCCTGTCCAGTCACAGCAGCTCTGTTTGCACATGTTTTATATTTGCAGATTCTTTATGAGTCCATTTGCAAAAAAGGATTTGCTGCTAACAAAAAAGGCCAACACCAGGCCAGGGGTGTCTCATGTCTATAATCCCAGCACTCTAGGAGGCGGAGGCGGGTGGATTACTTGAGCTTAGGCGTTTGAAACCAGCCTGAGCAAGAGCCAAGACCTCATCTCAAAAAATAGCTGGGTGTTGTGGTGGGCGCCTGTAGTCCCAGCTAATTGGGAGGCTGAAGCAAGAGGATCGCTTAAGCCCAAGAGTTTGAGGTTGCTGTGAGCTATGACACTACGGCACTCTACCAAGGGCGACATAGTGAGACTCTGTCTCAAAAAAAAAAAAAAAGGAAAGTCCAAACCATTGCATTATATGATATCTAAAGTTATTTCTACTTCTAATAATTATCTTCTGTAAGATGCAAAAGGGCTATCAAATAACATCTATGAAAATTATTGCAAAATTACACCCATGTTGGCTCTAAAGTTTATTTAGTAACTTTGAACTATGGGACAATAGTTGCTATTATGTGACACACATGTAGAAAATGTTTTTATGTTATTCTTTTTTTTTTTTTTGAGACAGAGCCTCAAAGCTGTCCCTCTGGGTAGAGTGCCCTGGCACCACAGCTCACAGCAACCTCCAACTCCTGGGCTCAAGCAAGTCTCCTGCCTCAGCCTTCCAAGTAGCCGGGACCACAGGCACCTGCCACAATGCCCGGCTATTTTTTGGTTGCAGCAGGCCTGGGCTGGATTTGAACTCGCCACCTTAGGTGTATGTGGCTGGCGCCTTAGCCATTTGAGCCACAGGCGCTGAGCAATGTTATTTTTAAATACAAGTGATTCTATTACTCAATATAAATGAATCACTGACTCCTGATTCTTAAAAAAAATTTTCTATTAATTTTATTGCAAAAAAACCCCACCTAACTTTATTGCCTACTTTCTATTTCCAAATAGAATACAAGGTGTTACTTTACATAAATCCTATTCTCTATTCCATGTCAAATCCCTTGTGTCTGGAAAAGTAAAGACATCGTCTAAACTTGACTGATAAATGACATACACGTAACCAAATGGCCTTACGGTTTATTCACATATTTGACCAGATGATTCTGAATGTATTTTTATGCCCAAATCTGTAATTCTGGACTTTACTTTCCCTCTTAAAGAAGGACAAGACAGGGTTTGCTACATAAGGAAGAAAGATACCATGCTTGATTGATACTTACGATTGATACGACTGATAACCGAGGAGGATTATTTAAACTTCAATTTCCTAATAGCCAATTTCTTTGTCATGCAACTTCATCAGCTTTACCACTTCAAATCAATGGAAATAACTTTCCTCCTGGGGCTGGGAACAACTCAGCAGGGCTTATGTCTCCAAAGCCCTGATTCTGGGGTTCACAGCGTCTGACACCTCTGCCTTGTCCATACCCAGAAATCTGCCCCGAGGCTCTGCCACCCACCTTGTTTTCCAGTCCTCTTCCGACTTTGACCTGTTTTTGCGGGCTGCTCTTTGTTTTTCCTCAAGTCGTTTCTTTTCTTCACTGGCTTGATCTGAAGTGAAAGTGTCAATAAAAAGCATTTATTCTCTCTGCAGAGGATGTAAAACACCACTGCTGTACCAGAAAGCATCATCCCCATGTACTAGCATCATCTCCATTTAATTAGAACACAAACACCACAGTCAAACATCAGTTAAAATTTTAACATGTGTCCAAAGCTAGCAGGAGGCAGAGCTGGCATTCAAGACCAAGACCAATAGTTCTTTTTGTAGCCTTTGCCCTTAACAACCTTTGTATTTAGCAAAAAGAACCTGCATATTCTTTTTTCTTTCTTTCTTTCTTTTTTTTTTTTTGAGACAGTGCCTCACTATGTCACTCTGGGTAGAGTGTCATGGCATCACAGTTCACAGCAACCTCCAACTCTTGAGCTTAAGAGATTCTCTTGCCTCAGCCTCCCAAGTAGGTGGGACTACAGGCACCCACCACGACATCGGCTATTTTTTGGAGTTGTCATTGTTGTTTGGCAGGGCTGGGCTCGAACCTGCCAGCTCTGGTTTATGTGGCTGGTGCCCTAGCCGCTGAGCTATAGGCACCAAGCCAGAACCTGCATATTCTTAAACCAAAGAAATTGTTAAAATCCTTCAACCAAAAACTGGGAGTAAAACTGAATGTGAAATTCTAAAGTTTTAGTGAGATGTTACAGAGCTTTTTCAGATTCCATTCCTAAGACATTTAAACCATTTCCCTAAATACTGTTGCTTTGTCTCACTGAGGAGAATCAGAATATTTAGGTAACAACAGTTTTTCTCCACCTGGTGCTAATGACATGTTAGGTCTGATGCCGTGTATATCAGAGGAAATTTAGCAGTGCTGGTGGCCTCTCAACACCAGCAGATGCCGGTAGCACCTTCCCAGATATGACAACCAAAGTCTCTGGACCTTGCCAGAGGACCCTGCCTCTTGAGAAAAAATTTAACATTTTCAGATAAAAATGTTATAATTAACCAAGGGGAGGCCATACTCCTCTGTGAAGCTCACAGGGGATGTATGAATCCTGAATACACAGTGACATAATGAGAGTACAGGTTAAAGTTGACAAAGATACTACTGTGTTCTCAAATTCCCCTCTGATATTTAACATTCATCTCTGGTTATATGCAGTATTACATTATCAGGGGAATGTTACTGAAATAATAAACGTTGAGTCAACAGGGTCTACTTCAGATTTCTAATATTAAAACCAAAGTTATGGAATTTAAGCTGAATTTTAATTCAAAAAGCTCTAAGAGAGACTAAAAATGTTAGTACCACAAAATGACGCTAACGATCCCCAGGAACAAACCAACCATCCGGCCCCCAGAGAGAGTCATCCTCCCCAGCAGCATCAGACGGGCCGTACCTATTTCTCCATTTTCCATGGCTCTGATGTCCGGCCGTAACCTGCAGTCCGTCTTAGGAATCACACTCTCCATCTCCTTGTCTACTTCATTCAACACCATTGCAAAACTAGTAAAATTATACATCTGAAAAGAAGCAAAATGATCAAACTGACACTCACCAAGGCCCGATGTAGAGAGGCAAGGCCCTGAAAGCAGGGGGTTTGGTCTGACGGTGCCCCACCCCCCGCTGTGGTAATGCTGCTCAGTCTTTCTCAGATCACACACATCTAAATGTTCTCCCCCAAACTGCACAACCTAAGGGAATCTGTCTCAAACAAATCTCAAAACAGGCCTCAGAGAATAAATATCCTCTGTCCCTATCAACTTTAAGTAGAACTATATAAAAGCAAAATCAATGTTTTTTTTTTTCTTCATTGGAATCATTCTTTGCTGGGCCTAGAGCAGGCATCCTCAAACTATGGCCTGTGGGTCACATGTGGCCCTGCCTAGGACATTTATCTGGCCACTGGGTGTTTTTGCCGCTGCTGCCAGTCCTGCTTAAGCAGCCGACTTGTCCTGGGGCCCACAATTCAGCCCTCCAATGGTCTGAGGGACAGTGAACTAGACCCCTGTTTAAAAAGTTTGAGGACCCCTGGCCCAGAGGACTTCTACTGACCACGCTGCATCATCTTGTACTTAACCAGGGCCAGATGTACCCCTAACCACCACAGAAGCCCTGTGAAGTCTCAGCCAGCACATCCTCCCAAAAGACACTGGAGGGGAGGACAGCATGGACATGTGGACCGAGGGTGAGAAGGGGACATGCACACAGGAGCCAAGGGAGGGACAATCAAGGGGCCTACGTCTCAGGGCTGTCTAGGCTGGCCCTGCACATGTCCCAAAAAGAGCACTGCACAGAAACAGTGAGGCCACGTTCAGCCACCGAGGTCTCACCTGGGCAGAATTGGGAGGCCGTGGGGCTATTCGCCACAGGAGAACGCTTCCAGGGATAACAAACACACTCTCAGAATCTGGCATCGGCATTTCATCGGACTCCTCGGCAGTGCTCATCTAGAAAAGTCAACAGATGAACAGAATTCAGGTAAAACATTTTAAATACAGTCACATGCCACATAACATTTCAGTCAATGATGGCTGTACTTAGGGCTGTAGTCCCAGAACCTTCCAGAGACACCTGACGCTGAGACTGGCACTGCGGATCAAGTAGAGGAAAGGACTAACAGATAGGAAAGGAATGGTGCTGGCACATTCAGTTTCCCACATGAGAAAATACAGACTGGAAACGGAGACCTCATTTAGGTTTGTGTTAGTACATTCTGGGCTGGTCACACAACGCGGGAGCCGCCTGATGACGCATCTCTCAGGAAGGGTCCCCGCAGCTCTCTCCAGGCAGCTCACGACACTGTACAATAACCACCATCTGTTGCACACGACCAGAATATAAACGAGCCTGGGGGCATCGTGACTTTCTAACTCTTGGATCTTTACCTTTTAGCAGTGCAGGGAGCCAGGGAGACGTGCTGAATGCCTGAATAAGTCCCGTGAGCTGCGTGAACTTTTCGTGCTGTGACAGCGGGGTCACTCACATTTAATGCATCATCATCGTTCTGTTTTATAATGCTCTGTTTGTAAAGTGGCTTTTTTTTTTTTTTAAAGAGAAAATAACTCCTTTGAGTGTTTACTGAGGAACTTGTAAGTGCTGTGCACTGGGAGCCCCGTAAAGTACAGAGCTGCCTTCCAAGGGTCTCACGTGCTAGCGAGGTACAGACAACACACAGGACATTCTGAGAACAACTATCACTTTCCTGGGACACTTAGCTAAATTTATCAATGACATGTGACCATTAGGGATCCTGAATGCATTTGATAAAAAAAGATTCATAAAAGATACTAGGCTAAAAAGGAAACCTTTGGCTACCCAGGGGCCAGAGCTCCCTGTGCTTGGTCCCTAAGTGCTCCCTGTACTTGGTCTTGGTGTAACAAACCTATGTGGAGCTGTTATTATTGTGGTCTGAAACAAAGTATTCAAGGCTTTGGAAGGTTAAGTAATACCCCAGCATCATACAGCTGACACATCAGAACTACTGGCTGAGACACTTCAGTGACTACATAGTTCAGGAAACAGCAAAGAGGTGGCAAGTGCAGGGGTGAGTCAGGCACACGAGCAGCCTGTGCCAGGGAGACCAAAGGCCAGAGGACTCTCACCCTCAAAGGGGAAAGGCCGCTTGTCTAAAAGGCTGACCGGGACCTATGGGGCATAAGGGATCTTCTCTGGAATTTCACCAGTGTCCTTTGCTGTCCCTGGGAAAGAGGGCTGGTGACAAGCACGTGGGAGAGGCTGTCTTTGTCTCCTACTGACAGTAGCTGCGCTGAGGAGTCTGGGGCGGGGGTCCTGGACCCTGGGACATGTCCTTCTCTAACTACTCTGTTTCCTACCAGTGGTGTAGAGTGGTTAGCACCTCACAGACTGAAGGAAGCAGGTGGGCACACGGGACATGGGGAGGACAGCAGGGCTGTGAGCGTACAGCTCAAGGAAAGAAAAGAAAAAAGCCCAAGCCCCAGGAAAGCAGCACGCTCTGGCCACCTCACACAACTCTTTTCACCCTGGGAACGTGGTTAACTCAACTTACAAAGAAAGTCACTAATAAACACACTGCCTGCTTTCTGGGAATATTAGGGCTTCTTAAACTTTCCCACGTGTAAGAAACCCTAATAGCAGGCAGGTCTGAGGCACGGCCTGGGAGCCCGCACCTTAAACAGCTTATAGATGCCACTCACGTTGCCAGGCCCAGAGGAGCTGCCAGCAGGACTTCCCTTCCCCGTCTTCACCAGGAGCAGATGCTATGCTGACCCTTCCCCTCTGCTAACTCATTTAACAGGCAGGAGCCATTTAGCTCATGTCACAAATGAAGACCCCAAGCAGGGAGGTGAGAAATTGGCCTACACTTACACTGCCTATAAATGGTAGAGACAAGATTCTAACCCAGAGATTCTGCTTAACCATTATGCTGGTTCAGAAAAGAATCAGTCCTCAGACAGACTTCCCGTCCAAACAGGTGCCATCTTTCTTTAGCGCTCATCCTTTCTGCCCGGAGGGAAGGACAGGAGACTGCCTCGGGCCCTGTAACATGAAGCCCCTGCCTCCCTCCCAGGAAATTCCAGCTGAACATCAACTGCCCGCAAAGAAGAGAATTCATGAAGAAGAGGACAGCAGCCCAGTGATGACTCCTTCACCTGTGATGATCTTAACTTCAGTGATTTCATGATAAGGTAACAAAACTGATAATAAGCATGAAAAGGTAAGACAATTTTGGAGAAAATCTCAAATATTCAAACAATTTCAACTTCTAATGCATATAAACAGGAAGGAAAAGAAAATATGCCTAAGTTAGAACTCCAACTTTCCAAAGCTATGTGATTAAATAAAAGCCTCGCGTGCAGCTGGGTGTGGTGGCTCACTCCTATAGTCCTAGCACTCTGGGGCTGAGCTCAGGAGTTCAAGACCATGATGAGCAAGAGTGAAACCCCTGTCTCTACTTAAAATAGAAAAACTAGCTGGGTATCGTGGTGGGCACCTGTGGTCCCAGCTACATGGGAAGACTGAGGCAACAGGACTGCTTGAGCCCAGGAGTTTAAGGTTGCTGTGAGCTATGATGCCACAGCACTCCACCCAGGGTAACAGTTTGAGACTGTCTCAACAACCAACAAAAACCCCAGTACAATTGCTACACAATCATAAAACTGGTACATATCCACATCCTACACAAGATTATGGCAAATACTTGCTACTAAGGCAGACAGCTGCTTATTTACAAAATGCAGAGGAGAATTAATATGCACTAGCAACAATGAAAAAACAGTCAGACTGTGGCCCAGCAACAGAGCAGCTCCAAAACAATCAGTGCAAATCCAAGAGCTCCTCGGATACCAACGACGGGATGTTCACCTGTTTGCTGTTTTTCTTCTCTTCGGTATTTCTCTTATCATTCTTTTTGTAAGCATCGAAAGTGGCAGGGTCAACACTGTATAAACACTCAGTCCACTTCCCATAGAGGGCGCAGAGCTTCTTTTTGCTGTCAAGAGAGAGTGGTGTTCAGCTAGCAATGAAACCAGGGTTTTGCTGTAACTGAGTATCAATTACTATAAAGGTCTGTAGGAATCACATTCTTTAAAGAAATAGATACTCCTTGTAGAAGAAAGATTTTTTTCAACTTATTTCCTACATTTTATCTAACAAACAATACAACTTATACTAGTCAATACTTAAATGAAAATTTTACCTTTTATCTTGGATGTAGCCTTCAACTTTGTGTAATTCCTTACCAAAAAGGCCACATGGCTTAAAATTCAACACACATTTGTCCCCAGTCCTATGAAGGAAATAATAAGTTCCAATCACCATTCAGAAGAAGAGCAGAGAATAATAACTGAACAGCCTTTCCAGCTGACTGACGTTCCGTAGACACCAGCCTCTATACAAAGGATATCATAAGTAATCCCCGATTAGTAAGGTACCCACCATAAAACAAAGGGTACATGAGGTTCGTATGAAGAATAAACGACTTCCCCAAGGTCACAAAGTAGGATTTAAACCCACCTCTTTTTAACAACTCTTATGTAACCCCCTAACCTGTACGAATAACAAACTAAACAATAGGCTTGGTGCCTGTGGCTCAAGTGGCTAAGGTGCCAGCCATGTACACCCAAGGTGGCGGGTTCGAATCCAGCCCGGGCCCGCCAAACAACAATGATGGCTGCAACCAAAAAAAA